TAACAAGATGGTTCAAAGAACAGTGCATCCAGATGTAGTCAGTCTATGTGGTAATCTCTCATTTCAGAAATTGAATCTACTTCCCTCATATTCCTCTCCATAATACTCACTCCTTTTCAGTATATAAGGATGTGCGCTCACTTGTGCCCTCTCAACCGGAGGTTGCAAAAATCAGCGTCCGTAGGGCCGCACCTGTGAGATCAGTGCCTCGTGCTCTCAGGCCAGGATATATAAGGAGGCGCGGACTCACTGCCTTCCCCCTTCTGTGCTCCCTTGGTCATATTTTCAGGGTAGACCTGAGGGTCGGCCTAAGGGGTGATCCTCCACCAAACAAAAGGAAACATTCTCAAACAAAAACCCAGGGAGATGCCCAAGCGAGGGGGGCAGCGAAAGGTAAGGTGTCATCCAGCTGGTTGCCCTGGGGAGTCAGTCCTTCCCCTAGCAGGCACTCAGGTTTGGCTGTTTCCCCTATGGCAGTGTTCCCCAATCTTGTTTAGGGAAAGCACCTGGTGTGCCAGGCCGGTTTGTTTACCTGCCGCGTCCGCAGGTCCGGCCAATCGCGGCTCTCACTGGCCGCGGTTCACCACTCCAGGCCGATGGGAGCTGCTGGAAGCGGCGCGGGCCGAGGGACGTACTGGCCACCGCTTAAACAAACCGGCCTGGCCCACCAGGTGCTTTCCCTAAACAAGGGTCTTCCCAAGTTTGGGAAACACTGCCTTATGGGAAGGAGCACAGCCTCTCACCCTGGAACAGCCTATTTTCCTGCTGCCACTAGCCTGGCAGCAGCTTGTCTCTCGCTCCTCTTTTGCTCTCCCGAAAGGAGTGTTTTTTAAAGGCTTCAGGCAGCCCTTAATTGGATTCAGGTGTCCTTAATTGATCTGAGGTAACCCCATCTCAGCTTGTAGGAAAAAGGGCCTTCAACATTCTAGGGCTAATATATTGGCCTTCCAGGACCCTCTTGCAGCCATCCAGCCTGACTTTGTCACAAATTATAGGCATGCCAATGTGCACAGAAGGCCTCAAGGCTTTCTTTATGAAAATCAAATCCTACCTTTGCACACAATATGTATGTTTGCATCCCTATATACATCCCTCCTTTTCAAACAGAGCTTCCAGTATCTTGATAGATTAACAGAAACTAGAGTTAGAAAATACCTATTAGGTCATCTAGTTTATCATCCTGCTGATATAGATTTGCTCCTTACATAACATTTTTTAATAATCACTGTTTGCATTTGTGTCTCTCAAGTTATTAGGTGTCCACTTCCTGGAGTGCGAACCCACGATGACTTGTGGCCCAAATGCGAAGACCTTTGATGACAGTGACACCTCTGAAGGAAACATTTGCAATTTAGCAGCACATAGCCCAAAATGTGAAGTTACAGAGCATCAAAGGAAGACGTCTGCCATCCAAAAAAGTCATCACTATACTGATGATTCTGATTACAAGCTATCTTAAGCAGCGCTGCTTAGCACTCATTTTTCTTAGGGAGGAGCGGATTCTAAAAGAATACTTCTTAAAAAATGTAACTATCTTGACAGCCAAGAGCAAACAATCACAGCAACAGACACTGGCAAAGACATTCAGTCCTCTAAAATAACTTTACTAGTATTAAGATACATTCAGTGTCTTGAATTTAAAATTGTCTAAATCTTCAGACAATGATCAAAAATGTTTGTGTAAAACAATCTAATGATAGAAATGTTATTGATCAAGAGTTTTTTGCCTCAGGTCCACACACTCATGAGAAGTCCTTCTATATCACAGCACAAAACTGTCCATTATCCAGAATAGGACAAAGTTGTCTGATGAATGAAAAGCAATGAACTTTTGTTATACAAAGGGATATTATATGTAGATCTAAAAAAAGGACAATTTTAAATATTGCTTGTAAAATGATGGTACTAAACAAGATCCACAGGCTTTGCATCGTGCTAATGTAACCCATATGCTTTATACTGCAGTATATAACTTCGTTCCTCCACATAAGTGGGAGAGAAACAGTGGGGAGGAGACATGGATCTTAGCTGGATACTCTCTCTCAGCACATGTGCAGACAGCAGGGCAGGGCAACTCAGTTAAAGACCCAGAAACTTCCAGAATAAGGTGGTAGTTACCAGACATGTTTAGTAGATGTTCTGGGCTGTATATAAAGTTTTCATTGTGGACAACCCATCTGGCAGGTTACACCCTAGTCACGTTCTGAGAGCTGTGCCAAACAGAGAGCAAAAGAGAGTAGGGATTTTAATAAAGGAGTTAAGAACAACCCTGTGGACTCAACAGCTGATCGATGCAGAACCAAGAATTGTGTCTGCTATGAGGCCTAGGTCCCTCTATCTTTGGATACAAGTGAGAACAACTTCAGCTTTACTGGCTAAGGAAGCCCTCCATTAGGATAATATTTGGTCCACCACAATATGTTTTATGGACCTAGAGGGACAGGTGGGAGAAGTATGTGTCACCTCTAGCAGCTACAGAGCCTGTAGAACATATACTTAGCTATCAGCTAAGTGCTTTAAACTGGGATTCTGTTTCAGAAAGAGAATGAGGCACTACTTAGTGAGGTGACGGTTTGTGAATTCTTGCCTGATTTAGCTGTGCTTATAGGGAGAAGACTGTGCTCTAGAGAGATCAAGGAAATGGATATTTTATATGTGATCCCAATCCCTGTAACACTTTGGATACAGACTTCTGTTTCACCAGCAACTGAGAGGACCAGTCAGCTATTAACACAACAGCTGGAATGATGCTAGCTGTGGAGATCCCCAGACTGTTTGTTTGTGTACTGGGTTCTGAAGTGTTTGACAGGACTGAGATGCTGACATTTCTCAAGCTCTGAAGATTCAGATTTCAAGGCCAAAAAGGACCATTGTGATAATCTCATCCGATATCCTGTGTAACAAAGGCCATAGAACTTCCTAAAATAATTCCTAGAGAACATCTTTTAGAAAAAAAAATCCAATCTTGATTTAAAATTTATCAGAATCCCCCATGGGTAAATTATTCCAATGGTTAATTACTCATTGTTAAAAAAATTGCATCTTACAGGTAACAAGCACTACATACTATGGTTACACTATAAAGATGAGAGAGAAAATCAGAGAGGAATATGTTTTGATGTGTGCAATGAAGTCAGAAAATGTTATATTTAAACCTTATATTTGAATGTTTGTAACAAACAAAAGGGGAAATCTATGTAAGGAACACTAACAGATTTATTGTCTAACAACATTTGTTTAGAAGTTATTCATAGTATTTACAATATTTTATACTATTTACAGTGTGTTGTGTCCATTAAATGTTTTACTAACACAACATATGGTGTACTCTTCGAAATTGACTGGGAACTATTAACATCCACTTGTCAGGGTTTTACATACAATAGCCCCAAGGTTTAACTCTGTGTATTGATTTTTGAGAAGTCATGAAAAGACAGAACTGTCGTCTTGCCTGGAGCTAAGCTGAGGTGCAAGAAGAAGGGCTTGAGCTCTACTGCCCCCCGTTACACTAGTTAGAGAAATACATCATTTATGTCAGTGGGTTAAAGTGCAGCAGAAAAAGATGTTTTTCCCCTGCCATCCTTCCTAATTCAAACTGGAATTTGAAAATCCAAATGGCTTTTTTTCCTTCTTGCCCACCACTAACCGTAAGAATTCTGCTGGCCAAATTATGCTGCTGCTACCTGTACAAAATTGTTGTATTTATGGATTTAAATTAGGATAACTAACCATCTCATTTATTAGAATTCATTAAACAATTTGGTTCATGGTGCAAATAAGAAGTATTTTCTTACAAATAATTTTTATTTTGTAGTATAGAACGTATCCGTTGGTTTGAACATTTTGTATAGGAGTTGCGCTATTCATTCCACCACGTTTTTTTTCAGTCCAATATTTTTTTATTCAAACTAATATGTTAACTGGACATAAATTAAGTGAAATTACAACAGAAATTCAAAAGCAGCTTCTTTTCAAGCCATAAAGTAACCAAAGAGGAAGCCCACATAACCCAACCTCATGGTCTTTTAACTGGCAATGGCTGGATAAAACCATGGGCCAGGAGAAGAATCTAAATATGGGGGAGGAAACCCACTGCCACCCCCAAGTGAATATCAGCCAGTGCTTAATGTAGTTAAATGATCAATGTTTTTAATTATCTACCTAAAAAAAGGTTGAGAAAAAGCTATTTTAGGTCATCTGTTTGCATTATAGTTAACTGGACTATGCCTGGCAATTGTGGGTCCAATACATACATACATGCCCCCTCCCCCTGCCTCTATTTTAACCTAAAACAACCAATTTGTTTTCCAGTAGCACCCACAACATGCTAGAAAAAGAAGTGTTCTTGCCCTAAGATCTAATAGTCCTGAACTGTTGATTGCAAGAAAGTACAACCAGTTAGAGAGAGATTTTCAAAAGTAAAAAAGGAAGGTAAGCCATTGACTTTCAATGGGAGTTGGGTGCCTAATTGCTATTTATACTTTTAAAAATCTTTCCCTTAATGTACATTAGTGACAAAAAAAAAATCTCATTTCAAACAAACACACTCCCAGTATTTGAACATATAACCAATGTTCAAGGCAAAAAATATCCCCCAGTAGCCATCCCAGAATAATAAATAGCAAAACATTTGGCCACTCATTCTTGTCCCCTCTTCCCAGTTATGATTTATTAACTTAGTCTTCCATCCCCAATATGTATTTTCCAGACAGCCATCCCCCAAATCCTTCAGATATAACAAGTCCCTGAATTTATAACATTGTACCTTTCTCCTCTTATGCTTCTCAAAGGAATACAACAAGTAAACCGCTATTCTGTACTTCCTGGCTGCCTTTATTTATTTTTCATTGTGTATTTTATTCGGTAGGTGATAAGAGTTAATAAAAGGCAACACACATGCACCAGAAGAGATTGTCATCTTCACTCCAATGTTTCTAGCATTAGGTTTCACATAAACTACTGTCCTGCATACAATAATAAACAAGGAAAAATATGAATACCTGCTTGTAAAGCCACCCCCGTCTGATCACCGGTGCATTAGGATTCCTCTTTATTGAGTTTGATCTCTTTCCAAAATTATGAACCTTCTTTGAAGACCGTGACGTCTAAATGGAATGAACATGTTAGAAAATGCACCATCAGTGTCTGTTAACTCTAGGAAATTGTCATACATTTCTTTCCTCAGATTTTTGTTCTCTACCCATGTTTCCCCTTGAGAATTGCAGGATATTGCTTTGTTCCTTTTTAGACAAATAAGTATGGTAATTGCCATGCTGTTTCTGCTGGCTCCAGAATTTCTCTAAATTTTCTGCAGTGAAAAAGAGAAATCCCAGAGCATTACAGGATCAAAACATTTTAAATACAGATTTAATATAATTTTTTAAAAACAAAAATATATCTGACTTTATGCTAAGACAGGGCTTGAAGAACACTTACAAGACAATACAAGAACTAGTAAGAGAACTAAAACTATGATAGATGGCAGTAATAATGAAAAAGGTGCTCCAGAGAAACACCTTGGTGAGAAAAGCCCAGCTTTCTTCTGTTCCCAGCACAATCCCAATACCTGGGAAAGAGGTCAGATTGCTACAAGGGTGCAATCTCTGGCTTCTGATTGAGCCTTTCATATCTTCCTCTGGTGAATTAGCTTTTATTCTGTCTGTTCTCCCCTCACAATCTTCCCATTCACTTTCTCTTGACTGCTACAAAAGGAAGAATATCTTCACTACTCTACTTGCTCCAACAGCTGTTTTGGTTCTTCTTCCCCTGTAACTCCAGCATCCAGCTCTCATGCTGCTTATAGCTTTTTTTCAAGCTGCTACAGAATGAAATTAAAGGGATTCTTGACAGTTTAGGAGAGCGGCTGTGAAACTAACAAGAGTCCTTTTTTTCCCACTCTTCTTCTGCCTCATAAAGCAATAAGCAGCAGCAGAGACACTGGAGGGATTCACCGTGTCTTGAATACTGCTCTGCATTGATTTACATTTAGTTTTTATTTGGAAAGTTACTGTTGCAAACAAAGGATGGAAACCTATTTTTTAATATTAAAAGCTTAAATTCCATAGAAATGAATGGCTTAGAGGCTGATGCATTGACAAGGATAGTTTCCCTTTCATCAAGAGCAGGGGACTAGGAAACAAGAATCCTAGGTTCTGTTCCTGGCTCTGCTACAGACTTACTGCTTGACTTTGGACAAGTCATGTAATTTCTGCCCTCAGTTTAATCCAACACCGATGAGATATCCACCCTGATGGAATTGGCATCGTTTGCACTACAAAAAGTAATTTTTACTCTGTTGACATTCACACCTTCTTGTCATCTGTTGGGAATGGGACACATCCACCGTGATTGAATCACTGACCCCACACTTGGTAAGGTAACTCCCATCTTTTCCTGTGCTGTATATTTATGCCTGCCTACTGTAATTTTCACTCCATACATCTGAAGTGGGTCATAGCCCACGAAAGCTTACGCTGTAATAAATGTGTTAGTCTTTAAGGTGCCACAAGACTCCTCGTTGTTTTTGCTGAAACACGGCTACCCTCTGGTACCTCAAAGGGGACTTAAGGCCTTAACTGATGTTTGTTAAGATACTCCGATGAAAAGTCCTTACAAATGTGAAAAATACTATTATTGCTTCTCGTATCTACAAACTTGTGTTCCAAAAAATATTGCCTGGATATGGGGTTGCTTTGTGGAGGTGCTTTCTAAATTTGGATTTAGACACTGAGCTGTGGTCTACAAAGCCTCTAATTTAGAGAAATAATTCCACAAGTTATGAGGGAATGACAAATTTGAAAAGTGTACAAAGACGTGATACAGCCAACACAAATGCTGAACATGGACAATTATGCTCTCAGATAAACAACTGGCTATCTTAGTAACCCATGCATAGGACAGCTCTTTGATGGCATAAATTAAGCAGTGGGAGCATGGTCACCATTTAGATGTTATAAAACAACAACAGAGCATAGAGGTGTATCTCAGATTAGGAAACAATACAATAATAGATAAATAAGATTTCAGTGGGAATTGATTTTCAGATGAACAAACATTTTAGTGTGCCCATGTTGAATTTCGACTCTGCGTGTAACGGAGTATTTTCCATATATGTAGCAGACAATATTAAGACCCTAGCACTGGCAACACAGGAGATGAGGAAGACAAAGACTAAGATTTTTAATTTTTAATACAAAATTCAAAAGGAAGACTATATCATATTTTTCGGAAATTCTGATTTGTTTGTATTCTCTTGGAAGCATGCTAATATATTTCTCTACTAAGTTTGCAAAGCATAGATTATTAAAAATTTTGTAGTGTCAGAGTGTACTTTTATTGAACAGCCTTGTTGAAATGAACAGGACATTTAGATTAGGTTTCAAAGGGACTTTTCATAATATAGTAGCACATGTAACACTGCATAATATATTTTACCTTAATAATAATATGCAGCTTTTGTGAACAATATTTTCTGTGAACGGCAGCATAAGGTCTTAAAATAAAAAGAGGTTTACAATTCAAAATCTTTATTAAGGGGTTGACTTAAGCTCACAAGATGAAAAGCAAGGGTGAAGAGGCTGTTTTATGTTTATTTGGAAGTAAGGCAGCTGAACAAAATTTGGTTTAGGGAAAAAAGCTTAAGCAATTTAAAATACACACACAATTCAAAACAAAAGTCAAAACTGTTCTAAAGCTCAACATTTTGGTCTGGGAAACTCAGTCCATGTTCAGGAGAAGTCAGCAATTGCTGCTTTATAAGAAGCAGAGGGAAGAATGTGGAAGACAAAACTATTCAGACAGAATAAATTAAAGATCAGGTCTGACAACTATACATTAAGATTCCAAAACTTGGAAGCTGTTGTGACAAATTACATTCAAACTATTATGTTTAGGTTTGTTTTTGTTTTTTTCATAGATTTTCATAATTGTTTTCAAAGACATTTCCCTATCTCCTACTAAAGCTGGGTGCAATTTTTCACCAAAATAAGTTATTTTTGACTAAAAATGCAGTTTTGATCGACCTAAACTACTTGAAAACTTGATACAAGTTTGCCAAATAGTTTGTCCAAAAAAAAAAAAAAAAAAAAAAAATTACACGAGACTTAGCTGTCAGTCACAAGACAGCCAGAAAGTGTCTCAACCAGTGGGTAATAGGGTAGTCTCAATCCCTCCTTTTTGAAGCTATTCCATTCTGTATAAAATACTTGATTAATCCCCGGGCGAGCAAGAGTGAGAACGACACTACAGACTTGGAGGGGAGGCGCGGGTGGCTAGGGCATTCGCCTTGGAGACAAGTCCCTGCTCCAATTACTATTTATGAACAGTTTCAACAGGAGAGAGGAAGACTTGCCCAGAATACCCTATAGTCCAATGAATAGGGCATTCTCCTGCAATGTGAGAAACAAGTTAAAATCCCTGCCCCACATCAGGCAAATAGGGGAATTAAACCTGCGTCTCCCATATCATAAGTCAATGCCCTAACCGCTGGTCTAAAGGCTGAAAATGAGGAAGCAACTCAATTACCGCCAGCAACCATTTGTGAATCTAGCCCTTCATCTCCTTTCCTTTTAAAAAAGGATGACTGGAAATGAAAAAAAATGTTTTGTTTGACCTGAAACAAAATATGTCCACTTGTTTTAAATAATTTTTTTGTTTTGTTTTTTTTAATAAAGAGTTGTTGGTTTCTGGTTGAATTTTTTCCCCCAAACAAAAAAACAGCACTACTAATACTCATCAAAACCCTTCAACATTTTCTACCGTGCAATATACAAACAAAATGGTCTTTGCATGTTCTAAGAACCAGTGATGCAATATTCATGCCCACGCTATCATTTGGTATGAAAGGGTGTAAACTCCCCAATGCAAGGCCAACAAATCCCTTTTTGTTTGCAAAATGGTTAATGCATCCAGGTGGTGCTGCCAAAAAACAAATAATAATTTCAACTCCTCTAGCAGATTCAGGTAATTTAAATGCACATCTCCTCTTTGGTTTGGTAACCAAGTACATGCACACTTTCACACAAAGCTCATGGAGCTCAGAAGTGAACCTTTACAGGCTCACACGTTTCACCAGCTGCAAATATCTACTTAGGTTAACAGGGCACTGCTTGAGTTTTCTAATATTAGTTAATAAACAGAACACTAGACACTTGTCAATTATTTTATCTTATAGTGTATAATGAGAATCTCAACTCACACACAATGTGTTCTAAAGATCTCAAGACTGTATTTTAAAACCTTAGAATAGTATAAATATTATAGTCAAGCCAGTGCTTAGTGAAAAAAGTGTGTGGGGGTGGATCACCCATTATTCTGTCCCCTTCATTCGCCCATCAATTTTGCCCCCCCTTCCCAAATCTCTCTGGGGTTCTTCATCCTCCTTCCCCAGGCCTGGGGGGTTTCAGCAGGGTCCCCCCTCTCCCCATTCCCAGGGTGTTAAAGGCAAGGGAGAGGAGCACAGGACCCATCTGGATGCTCAAAGGACGGAGGAGGAGGGAGAGCTGACCTGAGCACCTTGGCTATTTCTGTTCCCTGCTCCTCTCCTGTGTGAATGGTCAGTGTCTGCTCCTGGGGAGAGAGCTCTGCCTGCCTAATGCAGCAACCCTGATTGGATCTTCTCCAGAAGGTAGGCTAGTGGGGGGGGGAAGATGCCAATCAGAGGGAATTCTTCTCCCACACCCTCCCCACAAGTAGGACTAAAATGTGTGCCTCTCAGCAAGCCAGCTCCAGTTATAGATATTCCCTGGATCTGCAACCCTTTTTGACCCTGCACGCTTTAAACACTGTGTGAAGCTACTGTATTACTTAAATACTACAATAAAAGCATGTTGTCACCTTGTAGATTAGTTTATCTAAAGAACACAGAAGCAAAACTATTGCTTAAGTATTTTAAAACAAGGCTTGGAAATGTCAGTAACTAATTGGAAGCTTTCCCTTGTGATGCGTGTGGGTTGTGAAGAGGTGCATCTAAGCGATCGATTTCTGCCAAAATTTAATTTTTGTTTAAAAATAAGTTTCTAATCCTTATGATTGATAAGATAACTTTCCAAATATGAACCAATGCAGTGTTGCCTTCTTAATTCTGTAGGCAGCTCTAGCATCAATGCTGCTTCAGTCTTCCAAGCACTGGCAGGGAAATTGAGAAGATTGGGCAGTACTGCTATTATTCAGAAGTTTGTGGGCAACAATGAACCTAACAAGGACCATGTCAGTTTCCCAACCCAATGTCTGCTAATGTTTGGGAAAGCTATGAAGAACTGCAGAGGTAGACATTGGAGCCACAGAGATCACCATGAGACCAGTACAATTTTGCCTGTGCAAGTACATACCATGTTATTAAGCAATATTCCCTGTATGTGCTATAGGGGTTCAATCATATCATTCACAAAGGCTTTTATAAAGATTTTAATACCATCTGCAGAATAAATGGAGGATAGCAACTTAGAAAGAGAGGCTGGAGGAAGGGTAGAATAATGGAAAAAACCCTCCCACCACTCCACCTTTTAGCAGCCAGGAGGCTATGGAGGGAGAGTGCCAGGCTCTATCCACACCATCTTCAGTAGGTTTTGGTCTAGGATGGGAAGTAAAAAGAGCACCTTTTCCTTTCCAGAAATCAGGAAGTTGGACAGGTGGCTTTGAAGTTAGAACATACTTGAGGCTGACTGGAAAGATGGAGCATTTAACACCACTCTGGTATGAATCTCCACTCTCTCCTTTGTCAGCATTTTATTTTATTTTTGGGTGGAGAGAGGAAGGGAGCAAGAGAAGGAGGCTTGAGTGTCAAATCAAGCCCCTTTCAGTTTGGTCTCACTCAGCTCACCTCATTTTTTGTATCAGCTACTGAACAGTGGCTTTAGACTCTAGTCAGCCTTTTTTTAACAAAACTGCAAACAGAATCTTCTACAAATATTGTTATGTTAATTCTGGATGGTTTTATATTAATAAAAGGAACAGCATTGTACTAACAAGAGCCTTGAAACAGTCCTTTATCTCAACTGAGCTGTTCCCAATATGAAATTCATGATCTCCCCAACTAATTAGATAAACCCATTAGCAATATTCATTAGTCATCCCTGAAAATGGTTGAGTTTACAAACAACTTTAATAAATTGCCACCAATATTTTTGCTTGTCTTAGAAGTAGCCAAATGTAGCTTTTTCTCTCTCTTTCCCTAGTTTATGGAGAACCTAAATAACTACTCTCCCAACTATTTTCTCTTTCTCATGCACTGTAATACTATTTTTAAGACAGACTGTGAGAGACTAGTGTTGGTAAGGCAGCCCCGGCACCTCAAGTCCTCTATTCATAGATAGAGGTAGACATCAAAACTAATCGTACAAATCTCCTCATGGTTGGGCTAAAGTTCCTCAATACTATCACTGAAGGGTCACTTCTAAACACAAGGGAATAACAGTCTTAAATGCATTCAATCCATGGGCCCTCTGAAACTGCCGAAGAGGCTGATTAGTGTCAACTATGGTTTCTATGTTGCAGACACTTGTCTTCTGAGACTGGACTATCAAAAATGGTACAATAATGCAAGCAGGTTTATTTTTGATAACTGTGTTTAAAGTAACTTGAATAGCATTCACATGAACATCGTAAGTAGTTAATTTAGTAATTGAAAAAAGGATAATGGGCACAGCTTTTAGTATAAAAGCAAAAATCTGATTTCTCTAAAAAGTAGCTCAATAAATCCCATTCAACAAAACAGTCAAAGCCTCTAACTTAACAATTTAGACAAATGCCTATAGTTCAATAGCCAATGGCAATCTCCATTTCTTTCCAGTACATTGTCAACGAAATACAATAAGTAGTTTATTTTAATTTTGTCTGCAAAAGCCCTAAACTAATTTCCTGATTGCCTCCCAAATGGAAGTGAACCTATTTCCCCTTCCCTTCATCCACATTTCGCCCCACATAACGAACTCTAACATAGCTCTGTTGTAATAATTTTGCATCAGCATCACTGATGTCGTCAGCACGGTCCTGAGAAAAAGATTATATTGTGCTTTTTTGATGGCTGTCCCTGCAGGGGCTTAGCAACTATTGTAAGGTCATGCTTAACAGTAGCATTTTTTAATAAATCAACACTGCTACTATTTTCTCAGCAACACTGTTAAATTAAGGCATTTTCTAGAATCTGGAAGTCTTCTCAGTAGATAATGGTTTTAATGTAGGTCAAGTTTTTGCCTGACCATTTGACTGTGTCCATTTAAAACAAAAGCTGCTTTAATAGCAGTCTCCAACATGCTCAAAATATCTTATTTTATGGGCAATCGTAAAATGTTTATTTTTTCACAGAGAAAATAAAGAGTGTTTCAATCCAAACTTGTTGAAATTAAAGAAATTGCTCAGTTAACACTAATACTTCAAAGTACATATGTTACAAATCTGATTCATTTGCAGGAGAACCACTTTGCTGGGTACAGTCTTTCAGTGCCTAATTCAACAGGTTTTTTTGTTTGCAACTGAGAATGTAAAAATACTCAAGAAGAAATGTTAACTGTTGACTAGAAGACAGACGGCACTGCTTATCTCATCACTAACCAAGATGTCATCTGGCTAACTTTTCTCTGAAGATAATAAATCTATACTGGCAAAACCCAATGAAAATTTTCAGTTTTGTAGTAAGTGAACTGTCCTTCTACAAAGTGGCCTCTAATTGAAAAACAAAACGAAACTTATAGTTCTATACTGCCTTTTATCCAAGGATCTCTAAAGCTTTTTGCTTCATAACATCTCTGAGAAGCAGGGAAGTATCTCGCAGTTACAGATAGGGAAACTGAGGCACAACGTAGTTAAGTTGATTTATCCAAGATCCCACAAATAAGGCAAGGCCAGGAATAGAATTCAAGCTTCCTCACTTTCAGTCCTGTGCTTTAACCACAAGACCAGACTACAAAACAAGGAAGACTGGTTATGATTTCATGGGCTACTGAGCAATTTTCCTACCTAGCTGCACTGAAATTCTAGTACTGGCAGTTGCTAGTTAAAATGTAACCTTTGCCATATGGTCTGTTGGTCTGTTCCCATAACTGCTTTCAAGGGCTGCAACCAATCCCTTACTAATTGCTATAATTCCATACTCCTACCCAGGCCGGCTCTATGTATTTTGCCGCCTCAAGCATCGCAGTCAGGCAGCTTTTGGCGGCGCACCTGCGGGAGGTCCGCTGGTAACGCGGATTCAGTGGCATGCCTGTGGGAGGTCCGCCTGTCCCACGGCTTCGGTGTACCCACTGCCGAAGCCACAGCACTGGTGGACCTGCCGCCGAAGGCTCCCTGACTGCTGCCCCCACAGCGGCCGGCAGGCCGCCCCTCGCGGCTTGCCGCCCCAGGCACGCACTTGCTGCGCTGGTGCCTGGAGCCGCCCCTGCTCCTGCCATGAGGATGTTTGGTCAAATCTTTCAAAACATAGTGCAATTGTCCACATGCACACTTACCTATATGCCCACTCAAACACACAGTTGCTCATATACAAAAAAAGAAAGGCGTCTAATACCAAAGACAATTTCAGAACGTGAAAGTCATAAGAGCCAAGAAGCCTGTGACAAAAATTACAGCTTTAGTGATAAGTTATTTCAGACACCTCAGCTTCCAAATAAAAACATTCAGGTTATCAAGTGGCCTGAGATATACATATGCTTTGTTTCTTTTTTAAAATGGAATATTAATTACAAAGTTTCCTCTTTAATTATAGGACTCTGTTCGCTATCTTATGGAATAATTGAATAATTTTACATTAATAAACAAACAGATACAGTGACTTACTCTGCCCACAGGGCTCACTGGATGCACAGCATAATCTGATGTCAAATTGTAGTTGGAAGCGTCACTTATTGTGCTTACTGTTCGTTCTTTCTTTTCTTCAGATGTCATGGTTGCAGCAGTCCTGAAATCAGAATATTCAATAACACCAGAACCTCCTGTGTGTGCAGACTGATATTAAAACGTGTCCATAAGATGTTCTCTAATAGTGGCTGTGTCCTACTTTTCCAATTTTGAAGCAATTCAGATTTCAAGAGAAAATTATCTGCACCAAGTATTAAAAAGGTCATTAAATTGTATAGCAAAGACAAACTTTGTTCTACTATAGGAAATTCTAAACGTTGCTTTAAACTAATTCAAATTTATGGTTTACCACACAGCACAGTTAGTAAGAGAATGCTGTACACCAATCTCATGTTAGTGAAAATATGAGACTTTAGTAATACTTAAAGTTCAGTCTGGTAATTTGATTAGATACACAAGACTCAGCCACTTCACAACCTGAGATAGGGAATTACTACTGCACATAAATTCTTGATTCCCCTAACCCTTCAGGAAGGTCTAAGGAAATCATGTCATTCATGATTTATGCTGCAAGAGTAATGAAATAGTAGTCAACAAATCTATCGTCCACCTGCTCGGAAAACTTCTTGACAGGGCAATGGAATAACAATATTAAATGGAAAAGGAGTCCTAGCTGCTACAGGAGATATGGAATGCCAACATATTCCAGAGCAATTCAAATGGATCAAAAATGTACCTTATGGTAGCCTACTGGACTATCCTGCTAAAAATCTTTTAGTTTACTCTGCATGCAAACTGGGTAGGGTAACTGAAGTGAACAGTGAAATAATGGTCCCAACACCTCATTAAAACATAGAAAACCCTATTTGGGCTAGTTTTTTTTTCTTTTTAATTGTTTTACTGTGCTTCTTTGGTCTTGGATTAGCAGAGTACAGAAGAATTAGATTATAAAAGAAATCAATTTCTATATTGATTGGAGCTCATTGTGAAATTTATGAATTAAGAATGCATGTATTTTATATTGTGCAAAGCACATTTCACTTACTGTTCATTCACAACAAAAATACAGTTATCCTGTGATGGCTGTCCTGTTACTGGATGCTTGCAGGTCACTTTCCGTTCATTATGACTGTGGAGAAGAGAGACAGGCATTTATAAAGTTATGTATTTTGTAGTTTTCTGTAAAATTATTTTAAGGATCTAGTGTAAGGTCCAAATACAAGGAAAATAACTGGACGGTTCCACGAAGAGTTCATTGTGATGTCTGGAACTTAACTCCTGGCAACTACAGATGTAAAACATGTGTGCGTCTTTGCATGTTGTGCCCTTATCCATGCTACAGTTGAAACCATGCAACCAGTTTATTTTTAAAATGGATGCTAATATTGCTTCATTCACAATATGATTGAAACCCTTATGGTCAACATTTTCTAACAATTTAGAGAGGAAAATAAAACATTTGCGCTTTTAACACTGCTCTAGGGATAAAAAAAGCTAATGATTTCTATTCTGGAGTTTGGCATTTTTCATTTAAAACTTCCAAATAAAATGCCATGATAGTCATAAAGAAACATTATGAACTTGTAAGAGCCAAAAAAAAGAGAAGATTACAGATAGATATATACACAAGATAAAACCCATGTTTCATTTTAACTTAATCAAGCACAAATAAATTACATTTCATGGTTATATTACCCCTGCATATTGTTTATGGCATCATAATGAATGCAAATGTCATAAGTATTAGTCAGGCACAATAAATTCATGCAACAAGAGACTATATTAAAATCAATGGTTTTGTAACAATGTCCATCACTGTGGGGAAGACATATGACTTTATAACATTTGGCACAAAATTGAAGAAGCAGTTCAAAATTAAATCAGATTTTTTGATTTTCTCCCAAGTTGAAAGTGACATTTAAACCTGGAATAATCTGGAGTAGTGTAACATTCAGTATATTTACTATGGTACAAATGTATTTTGCATGAGGTATTTAATAGAACCTGTATCCCAGGATCCTTCATGTAATTTAACAGAAGGAGGGAGAAATTAAAAAGGGATAAGAGAGAAAATGTATGCTTTTATCTTAGATTTGAAAAGAAACAGTCACTAAGACTGATATATATAGAAAGTCAGTTCAAAACAGCAGGAACTCTATAAGAGAAGGTTCTTCCACCAGCAATATCAAGATTTTGTGGAAGACAGGCAGACTAAGGTCAATGCTAAGTGAGTGGAAGGAGGAGGAAATTTCATAGGGATAAGCTAACCTATGAAAGGTTGTAACCTTTCTAAGTAGGTTAATTTTGAATAATGATACCATGGACATAAGAATGGGGTTCATTTGGTCACTACACCAGAAGCATGTAAAAAGTATCAATACACCTGTTTCGTCTATACAAAAAAAGTGCTGTATTCCCAGAAGTGTGTCTGCTTCATATGAAAGTATCATGTGTGCATGTGATCCCAATGCAACTCAAGCAGATTCTGGGAGGCAGAAAATGGAGATGAGCTAGATTGTTTTATCCTTACAAGAGCTTCATTGGGGCTTCAGTTGGAAAATGGCTTGAAGCATTCTATAATACTGGGTTTTCTACCCTCCTTCCAGCAGATACAGATTGTCAAACATATTTCTATATTGGACATTCCTTGGAATACTGCTGCCATCTCTTCTATTTTGTTACTTTTCAGGCAACAGTCGATACCATCAAACTCTCCAGTGTGTTGGTAATTTTTTAAGATTGCCTACACTGGAAATATTTTTGATCTCCTCCTCCTCCTGGCAAGAGGGTAAAAACCTGATGTTACAAACTAAGAGTTGCAGCAGGTCTTAAGATGGGGCCTTTCTAAAAATAGCGTATTGAAGAAATTCTAGATAGAGTTACAGACCTGGGAGATGGTTATCTTAGAAGCAGGAGATGTTAAATGTCCCTATGCTCGTCTGGCCCTTACCTACCTCTGCACATAGTAACTTTAAGTAGCATCTTCATACTAATTTTGTGGAAGGAGCTGAACTGAGAAGGAGAATTATCAAGGGAGAGGCTTCAAGTGAGACAAAAGTTGAAGGCCACAAGAATAAAAATCACAAGTATATTGCAAGAGGTAAACATAAAATGAAGCTAAAATAAAATCAAAGTAGAGTTTCAACTTAGACATTCTCTCTCACCAGAATCAGACTTCATCTAAAGTTTTACAATTTCAAGTCTTTGAAGACAGACTAACCAGCAGGTGCCAAAAATACAAAAACAAGCAGCCATTGTTGGTTTTCTTCCAAGTTTGGTGTGAAACAGAACATACACTTAGTTGTTTAGGCAAAAGCACAGCGATAAACAATGGTCTTGTTGTTAAGGCACTGGACTGGGATGCTGGATCTTTGGGTTCAATCTGCCACACACTTCAGATCCTGTGTAACCTTGGCCAAGTCACTTAATTTCTCTATTCCTCAGTGCCTTATCTGTAAAATAGGCATTATGCTTCCCTGTCTCACAGGGATGTTGAGAGGATATGTACATTCATGTCTGTGTGGCACTCAGATACTAGAATCACGAAGGTCATGTAAGCTACCAGAGAGTATTCGTTGTTGCCACTACTGTTGCAGCTGATACAGGAAAATGTCAAAGGGATTTGTATGGAAACATAAAACCTATTAACTGAAATAACAGAAGATCCCACTATAAAGTTTTCAGATACTTCGAAAGTCTGTCATATCAAACTAAACTGTTATACGTAATCTCAAACCATAATATCTATAATCAATGCAATACAGTACATCCAATAGCAAATGCTTTGCAATATTAATTGCCTATCTTAAATGAGGTTTTTCATTTTCAGAGAGCTTGTTTGTATCTAGGCACGTTCAATAAATTTGGAGTAAACATTAGAAAATTTTTGCCAATATTTCCTTTTTTCTTTTCTACTTTTTATTTGGTAGATTTAAATTATAACATTGATTTTTGCTTTGAAATCTATTTACCCAGAAGTACTGATAAGAGACACAGCTCTCTCTTTGTATAAGGGAAATACCTTTATTTCTGCACCAACTTCCCCAAAAATTTCACACGTAGACAGGTAACAAACCTGGAAAACATCAGCCTTCCAATGAAACTTTCAAAAAAAATTACAAAAATCTTAACACTAGTCCAGAATGAAAGCTTACGGCACTTTAAGGATAACCTTTGGTTATAGACACTAACATTTTAACTATACAAAATACTGTTTACTTTGCAAACCTTGCTCCCCACCCCCCGAAGTCTTAACTTCAGCAAGATAATCAGAGAAGTGTAGGACTGGAAGGGACCTCAAGAGGTCATCTAGCCCAGTCCCTTGCACTCAAGGCAGGACTATCTAATAACTAGACCATTCCTGAGAGGAATCTTAACATTTCCCTGGCTGGTGCTTATATCAAAAAGCTTAGATCTTGATCACTTTGCAGTTTCACAGTCATGCTCTAGTCACAAGTCCCCTTTCACACAAAAATCTACAGTAAAAAAATTAAAGCTTCTTTCATGTTTAAGTTGTATTGGATATAATATGCAAACACAAACAGAAAAGAGGTAAAAATGTAACCCATTTCTTTGTACCATTTTTTCTTATGTCACAGAGTTTAGTTTAAAGCAAGTTGTGGATATTTGGGGCTAATAATGACAAAGTACATCATTCTCTACCTTTTTACAACAACTATAATCAGGTTAACCTCTGAAAAGATTCTATTGGGAAAGTACATCTATAACCTTTGAAGGGCCATGAGATAGATTCTGATCCGCTAAGTCCTTGCCATCCTAAATTGTTATGATTCTATGTTCCCTAAGGAAGATAAAGTGGCTCAGAGAAAAAGAAAACTAAGTTACAAACATCACTGCACAACATCCATTTTTAGATGGATATTTTTCCTCCAATTCAACAGACTCACTTTCTTGATCTTTTGAGAAAGGCTGGAGAATTGTATCCACAGCACTTGAGATTATGGAATACAGGGCATGAATTGAACTTTTATCATCATAAAATAATTATTTTCAACTTTTTTTTCCATGTGGCTTGGTGGACAACATTAAGCCGCAACCAACTAAGTTGGCCATAAATGGTGGGATTTTTAAAAGTGCCTGAGGAGCACAAGTTACACCGACTTCCCATGAGACTTGTGCTTCTAATTCAGGCTTTTTTTAAAATCCCACACTAAGTCAAAAAAGGGTGTCATTCAGTTAGGTTATAGTGATGTAGATTGCTCTAATGTTTAACCTTGACAATTTGATACATCTGGCCATCAACTGGCATCCCAAAAGGCTGCCAAGTAGAATATTCCCTCTTTTGGTGGGAGGGAACAACTTGCACACACTGGCACTGCCTAGGTCAATAAGAAGCTGTGTTCACTCCTCCTTACTAAAGGAAAGGTCATCTAAATGGCAAGAATAAATGGAAAACATTGGAGAGAGGGGAGCAATCCCAGATGACTACACAAAAGCCATTTGAGGACAACTGTTAGGTCAATAATTTTAGGGATAAACCTAGGGAAAAAAAAGAGACACCACCTTTCTCCCCCTCATTCAAACTGATATGTGATAAACAGACAGCATGTCTGAAGTTGAAAACCTGGCCCAATAATGAGTATCTGATAGAAAGGGGGCCTGGAAAGTTGGCATGGACATTGTAAAAGTACATTGTGAAGCAAGGAGCCATTTCCCTTCCTTGTTTAGAGATCTCTACCACTTAAATGGGCAAGGAACACTCCTCTTCCCATCTCTCCTAAGCCCAGACTCCCAAATGAAGTCATGTGAATGAACATGCATTGCAGCTAACAATGAATGTCAACTTGTTCTAGTAATAAAAAATGCTTTATGTAAAAAAATGTGATTTGTTGACTAAAACCCAAATATTTTCTTTTAAAAACAGCGGATTCTCATTTCTGACCCCAAATAGCTGGGTTTCAGCACTATTTTAACTTAGATTACCAACATTTACCTAGATTTCTCAAAATACTTATGTAAGAAGCACTGTCCCTAGATAATTTCTGTGTCCCTTCTATAGAACAGTAGCCCCATGGCATTTATTTATGGGCTTCATCTCTTGTAGTTCATTGAAAATTTTATTAAAAGCTACCACATACTAGGCACAATTTCCATTGTGTTCAATTTAGG